AATGATTGAAAAGTAAAAAATATAGCATATTAAATTATATTAATAAATATTACTTGATTTTTAAAGACAACAATTTTTTAATTATAAAATATATAGAGTATATTTATTTTCAAATAAAAATTAAATAATTCTCAATTTTTAAAACTATTTTAAAAGTTCATAAATACAAATTCACACTTAGCACAAAAAAGTACCCCTAGTACATATTTATTTTTGTATGAACCTTACGTAAAACAATAAATACATAGGATACCTAGATTGTGAACAAAGTTCGAGTAGCTCACTTAGCACAAAAAAGTACCCCTCAGCCACTACTTTCAATTTTTATGTCCAAAAAACTTATTAAAATATAGATTTAAGTCCAAACCCGGGAACCGGACGGGTCGACCCGGTTCACCGGTTCCGGCGGGTTTGGGCGAGTCAAAAGGGGAACGGGTTTCTTCATTGAACCGGACCGGATATGTTGCCGGTTCGCGGGTTGACCGGTTGAACCGGCCGGTCCGCTCCGGTCTTAAGTTCGCAAGTTATATCATTTTCCAGTAAAACTGTATCATCTTAATATCATCAATTAATTATCAAGAAATTTTTGTCTTTTCAGACAGAAGAGTTTAAGTTCGTCAATTTAGTTCCTCGGACAAAGTACATCATCCCAAATGTTGGAATATGCAGACAATTCTTGTCCATTTTACAGGTTATCATGAACAATCAAGTTTTGTTTGTTTGTGTAATTCAAAATTTGGTGAAAGTGTGTGGTGCACATGAAAACCAAAGGACTTGTATAAGAACAAGTGACAATAGAAAGTGTAGGGTTGTTTTTCACACACACAAAAAAATGTGGAGTTCCCATTGGATGGATTCATGGTCACCATGGCAGCCCCGTCGGATCCTTTGGCGTCCTTACCCTCCGGAGTAAAACTTTTGCTTCGGAGTCTCCACAACTTAATCCCAGAAAAACTCACCGAAACAAATTATCCGGCATGGTCTCTCAATGTCCAGACAGCTCTTTCAGCTAATCTCCACCTTGGATGGATTGATGGTCATGAAGCAGCCCCGGCGCCAACTATCTCCAAAAACGATAAAACCGTCCCTAATCCAGAGTATACCTCTTGGACCATCGTTGACACACAGATCCGCGCCTGCCTCCTAGCGGTCATCAGCCCCTCCGTTCACAAACATGCTCGCAGCTTCACCACATCTGCTGCCCTCTGGGATGCTTTGGCCGCACAGTACAGCTCCGTGTCCACCGCTCATGTTTATCAGCTTCAGGACAAACTCCACACTCTTCGTAAAGGTACCAAAACTATGACACAATACCTTGATGATGTGGCAACTATTCTCTCGGATCTCGATGCCTTGAAAGAAGAGATCCCTGAACGTGATGTGGTGAATGCTGTTATTCGTGGTCTTCCCACCGAATACTCATCCTTTAAG